AATTCGGTGAGAGCAGATCTTTATACCTATAATATGGGCAGATCTCTAAAACCTTTAACTTCTATATATATATTTCTCTTACACGGCGACAAAAAAAAGCCTCATTACATCTCCCCGAATGGCAACGCTAGAAAATCGACCAATGATTGCCGCTAAAAATGTCACATGCCAAATTTAGTTCAGGTGGCTCAACATATGGCGCTTTTAAAAACGGAAACTGAAATAACCTTAAGCTCGGCAGAAGTGAGTAGTCTTTGTCGATAGATCTCTATTTTGGTATTTTATCGAAAGCGCTTTTTTTCACGAATTTATATATAACGAATTTATTTGACGATTTTTGATTTATTTCACGAATTTATTTGTTTTATTATTGTTATTAGTTAGTCATTGAAAAATGAGCCTCAGTCGTGCTGTTACGCTTTAAGATTTTATGCTATAGCACATTTCTCACAGGTTTAACGAATTACAAGTCATTTATTTGAATTCAAATTTATTTTAATGACTTAGTATTTACTAAAAAGATGTATTTTTTTTAAAAAAAAGTTGTTATGTGGATTTGAATGTTTGTTTTGAATTTTTAGAATTTTGTGTATTTGCAATGTACCTAAGTTAGTAGCGGGCGAAGCGAGCTTGGTTTGCGAAACAAACTATATAAGATTGCGTAGCAATTTTCGGGGGTTGGCGAGCGTTAGCGAGCAGGGGGCCATCCCACTAGTTTGATAATAAAAAAATAATAATAATAAATACTATTTTTAGGCACACTATTTTTACACTTCCAGAATTGCTTAAAAATGTATAAAATATCAGAAAATAATCGTGAACATCAAAAATTTTAACGCCTTTATAAGTATAAACAAAAAATTAAAATTTTTGAACTAATTTTTCTAGGTTTCTATGCATTTCATTAAAAATCATAAAAACGACAAAAGTATCATTTATTTAATAAACATATAAACTTATTGAACCTATTTTTCTTTTATTGAGCATTTTTTTCTTTTTAATAATTTCATCCATATTTACCCTTTATTTTTCATCAAAAATAATTAGTATCATAAATGAATTGAAAAATTTTAATATTAAGTTTAAATTATTATAAAATGTATAAAAAGGCTTACTTTAATTATTTTCAGTCAAAAAATATCTTCAATTAGTAAAACATATGGAAAAAGTAAGTTCTGGTATGCTAAATTCAACTAATTAATCCTGAGGTTACGGTTTGACAGGGTTACGATCTGGACAACCTATAGAATAGATCGAAAACTTTACTCAGATGCACACAACACAGAAAATAAATTAGGCAATGACAAACGTGTGATCAAAATTTCGATTGATTTTAACATTTACTTTTTAGATCTGCGTCTGATTACGGTCTTGACATCGTAACTGTAACCTCACCGAATGACAGTTTGTGATTATAAACCTAGAAAAATTACTCAAAAATTTTAATTTTTTGTTTATACTTATAAGGGCATGAAAATTTTCGATGTTCACAACTATTTTCTGATATTTTATACATTTTAAAACAATTCTGGAGGTGTAAAAATAGCGTGCCTATTATTTTTTATTATTTTTTTTTATTATCAAAAGTTAAAGGCAGGCATAAATATGTTTTACTGTAAGCCTGTGTCAGAAATAAACATATTTCGAACTAAGAAAGGGAAGGACACTCAAAATATCTCAAAACAATCAATGAAAAACCCAATAGGGTAGCGTAAAATAATTTCGACCTGTTGTAAATATTTCGTGCTGTTAATTTATTTTGCAATGAATTTCAGGACTTCTGAAGACGAGGAATCTTCTCTTCCAGGAAGGTTGCTACATTTAATAGGTAATCACTATTTTGAAACTTTTTTTTTGTTCAATATATTTTTCTCAGATTTTTATCAGTTGTATTTAAAATTTTGCAATAATTTTTCAATGCCCCTTTCTTTTATGTATTTACAACTGAAAGTACTAATTATTTGAATAATTGAAAATGTCGTAATTAAAAAGTCTCTTGCTTTGTTTATTTGTTTTTTACTTACTTAAAATAAATTACGAATATGAAGAGTTAAATTCACATAATTCACATTATTTTTAAATCATTAAAAATTTAAAATAAAGCACAGTATGTTTTTTTTTTGTTTTAAGAAATCATAAAATAAACTTTATGTTATGGAACATATTGGAATATTTCATTACGAAAACTGAAATTTGATTATAAATGGAAACAAAAAGTTACTTTATATTACGTACCTTTAGACTTGATTACTGCACACAAAGGATCTTGCGTGGAATAAATATGCTTTTAAACAAAACAGTTTTGCGAAATTTACACAAAGCAAGAGTATCAGTATCTGAGGTAAATGTTTTCATATATTTGATTTTGTTCTTATTATGCTATTTTAAAATTTGTGTCTTGAACATAGCAATGCTTTCACCTATAAAAATGCAAAGAAAAAAATACAACCAACCATTTACCAACAGGTATGGTAAAAATAAAATGTAAGGCAATCATAATGAAATAAGGGATTGAAAAATTATATGTATTTTATTAGTTTTCAACAAATAAATTTTCAAACTTAAGCTGGAATTTAGACAAAACTAAAGGTATTCTTGTTATAATTAAAACTTGTGTCAGAAATTTTAAGAGTGACCGACAGTTAAAATTTATATATAATTATACTCAGTTGTCGGTAGAAATATTTATATTGATATTTATATTAGAAATTTATCTATATTAGATATTTATATTCGAAATATTTATATTATTTAAAATTGCGATCTTTTCTTTTGGTAATTATATTAACTGTATTATTTTCTTTTAAATTCGAACATTACAGATACAATTCAGCAATTGAATTTTGGAACAAAAACAGCAACAACAAAAAAATAAAAACTGCTTTTGGTTTGTATATTTCCCCAAAACCAAGTCTTTCCCAAAACGTTACTTTTTATAACCGTCGTTGAGCATCCGAGCCAAATTTTGGGTTTACGACTTCTAATGCTCAACTTCGTTACCTTGTAATTTTGAACCCAATCCAGAAGACAAGGGAACTCCTGGATCAAGTATAATTTTGCCTACGTGGAGGACTCCTTTGATTTAACTAACCCGCATTTGCGTTACATGGAGAGGAAGACCACGAGAACATTCCATGGTTAGATTGATGGCGAAGGGACTCTAACCCGTGATCCGTCTATCACTGAGAATATTTGATGTCAGCACTGTGGTCGGTGCAAGCCGGATGCGGATTCGTATCTACCAGTCATCGCTGGATTCGAACCCGGTTCACCTCATTGGAAGGCGAAAGCTCTTTCCCCTGAGCCATCAAGGCTCAAAACGCTATTTTCATCATTGTCACGCTTTTACAAAAAACATTTTTGCGTCTGATTTGAAAAATGAATGCAATTAGATTTTACTTTTTTATCTCTGCACATTACTGGATAACTTACTAAAAATCTCTGCACCTTACTGGACCCACCGAATTCATCCCGAGATTAGGCTAACGTTTATGTCATGTTAAAATATGTTAAAATATTATTTAAAAATAGCCGAATCATTTTTTAAATTAAAAATGCAACCGTTTTTAGACAGTACTTTTTTTTGTTCAGTCATTTCTTTTCAATCTTTACGCTGTTAATAGAAATTACAGCCTGTTTGGCAGGGCGAGGATGAGAGTTCCAATCCAGTCGGCCGAAAACTCCCCGTGTAGTCAATGGTGACCGGTGCACGTCAAATCTGTCAAGTCACAAAGTCCTCCATTTTCCCACCACAAATTATACCTCTGAATTGGAGATTGATCGTTCTCTGGTTCAGGTCAAAATTACGATCTGTGGATGAATGAATGGGTCCGCCCTATAAACGGGTGTGACGTATGGTTGTGATAGAAGTCGAATTCATGACTATAGATGGCGCCACTAGGAAACAAGAACAACAACAAAGAAATTATAATAAGAAATAAATTGTAGTTGCTTTTTTTTATCGTTCTGGCCAAGAATCAAGAGTTGTGAACAAGTTACATCAATTCCTCCTCTTTTAACATAAGGCGAATAAAAACTAAGTTCTTGCATTGAATTAAGCAAATATTTCTTTTCCCCTTTAACTTCGTGCTCTACGTTTTACTTTTTTCTTTACATTATACTTTGCACTTTATGCTCCACAGTTTACTGTACACTTTATTTCTGTTTATATTTCATTTTACGCTTTACTAGACGCCTAATTTTATTGTACACTCCGCTTTTATTTACTTAACATTTTACTATACATTACTTTTTACTTAACTTTGCTTTTAAAAAGCAACGTTATGATGTATGCTAATAAAATAAGTGACTACAAATTATACTCAAAAAATAAGATTTAAAGGAAATGCGATAATGCTTTAACTCATTCTATGGCTTTCGAGATCGCATTCCAGTAATATGTAGATAATTAAAAGTTTTTTTTTTTTTGTTGTTTTCAATTTTGGTATTGTGATTTTTCAGGGAATGTGGCCGACAACAATTTCTGTGATCTTCAAGTTAAAGTAAACAAATTCGTAAGTATCTCTCTCTATCTCTTTGTCTAAATATTATCGATCTTTATGGGAAGTTTTCGTTCTCGTGTCGTTTTCTTAAAATACTCGCCTCAATATTCGTTTGTTATTCGGTATTGGATTAAATTTCGTACAAAGTTCAATATTCGTTTGTTATTCGGTATTGGATTAAATTTCGTACAAAGTTCAGTATTCGCTTGTTATTCGGTATTGGATTAAATTTCGTACAAAGTTCAATATTCGTTTGTTATTCGGTATTGGATTAAATTTCGTACAAAGTTGAGGCAAATACACTCGGACCTCTATTTTACGAAATCGCTAATTCTCGATAGTAAGTTCGTTATATGGAAAATTCGTTAAATAGAAAATCATCGTTTGAAATACTTAAACGACACAAAACAGGCTTCAAATTTATAAACACTAGACATAATTAAAATAGCAATGTATACACCTTTATATTGTAAAGTAGTATCTACTATTTATTTTTTAAATCTTAATCATAAAAGAAATCTGCAAGGAAAGCAAGAATAGAGCAAATAATTATCCAGTGTTACACAATCATGCTACATACATTTTCAACTAAAAAAAGCTGAATTTATGTATAAAATTATAGCTGCATTTATTATAAAAATAATTTTAAACATACATTGCCTCATGAGTTCTAAAGTTTAAGTGCTACTGACAAAATGCGTTAATTTTGTCGTTTATGTTAGAGTTTTTGGTTTGAAATGCGAACTAAAAGAGAAAATGATTTTACTGCTTTCTCTAAAAGTTAAGTGACTTTGAAATTTAATTCAAAGTTATTTTTCACATAAAATACGTTAACAAGTTTGAAATGTTCTGAAATATTTTGGGAAATAGGGAAAGTGGATCTCAAAGAAAAGTTCGTTATATAGAACATTCACTTCGTTATTTGGAAGTTATTTTGCGAGGAAATTTCCAAAATGTTCTTGGTTCCTTGAAAAAATTCGCAAAACGGAAGTTCGTTATATAGAAGTCCAACTGTATTTATAATTTGGCTAACTTCGCTGTGTCATAAAACGAAAAGATGACCATTGCATGATTTCTCGCGCATGAAAAGTGGTCATGAAATGTTATTTTTATCATGTTATCTCTTTTCCTTGTATGAGTCTATCGATTTTCTTCCCAACAGAACGGACTACCGAAATAGGGTAATTTTCGTCATTGTCACGCAGTGTGTAATATAGTTAGTACCGTGAATTACCGAAATCAAGAGAATGTCGATTTTCAAAGGTGAATGTCAACAATCACATAGTCCCTTTGGTCCGGAAATATTTGTTATATCCGATTTGATATCAATTTATTCGTCGATATTAATATATTTATTCTATATTTTAGTATCTGCTGATCAGCAGATGGGTCATTCTCACGGAAAAGGTATAAATAGACTAAAAAATTTTCTTAAATCAAAGTAATTAAAAAAGTTATAAAAATTACATTACAGTACAGAACCCGTTATCCGGAAATCAGAAAACCGGAAAACCAAAAAATCGGAACGAAATTCGATAAATTTTCCCGCAATTTTTAAAAAAAAATTTTTTTTTCCTCATAAGATTTTACGATTACTCTTTCTTTTGTGTTTACCTTATCAAAGATGTTTACTTTACCATCATTTTGGAAATAATCATTAGTGTATTACTTCATAATTTTTTCTTTTTTTAAGATTATTTCCAAATATATATAGTATATATTTTTTTTAGTTGGGTTTAACAATGAAAAAAACGGCTTTTTGTAGCGATTAAGAAAACCAGAAAAATCAGTTATCCGGAATAGCGATGGTCCCGATCGTTCCGGATAATCGGTTCCCTACTGTAT